CACAGGGACACATCCTCACCTCCTCACAGGGACACATCCTCACCTCCCCACGGTGACACATCCTCACCTCCCACAGGGACACATCCTCACCTCCCACAGGGACACATCCTCACCTCCTCACAGTGACACATCCTCACCTCCCACGAGGACGCATCACCTCCCCACAGTGACACATCCTCACCTCACAGTGACGCATCACCTCCCACGGTGACACATCCTCACAGTGACGCATCCTCACCTCCCATGAGGATGCATCACCTCCCACGGTGACACATCACTTCCCACAGTGACACATCCTCACCTCCCACAATGATGCATCACCTCCCCAGTGACACATCCTTACCTCCCCAGTGACACATCCTCACCTCCCACAGCGACACATCCTCACCTCCCCACAGCGACACATCCTCACCTCCCACAGGGACACATCCTCACCTCCCACAGGGACACATCCTCACCTCCCACAGGGACACATCCTCACCTCCTCACAGGGACACATCCTCACCTCCCACGGGGACGCATCCCTTCCTACGGTGACGCATCCTCACCTCCTCACAGTGACGCATCACCTCCCACGGGGACGCATCCTCACTTCACAGTGACAGATCACTTCCCACGGCGACATCCTCACCTCCTCACTGATGCATCACCTCCCACGGTGACGCATTGTCCCCCCCCCCAGGGTGGCGCATGCTCATTTCTTGCAGTAACAGGGTTCACTGAGGACCAGCTGGCAGCACACTCCTCTTCTCACCAGTGACAAAAGACACCGTCTCATGGCCACAAAACGAAAAACCACCTGTCATACCAAGAACCAGAAGACTTGGAAGTAACAGCAGAGTGGGAACTCTGTGCATCTGCTCAGAGACACACCGCAGTCAGCCCAGGAAGACCTGTGTCGGAGGAAACAAGCGAAAGGCTGAGAGCGGAAGTGTCGTGGCCACACGACCGCACTCAGCAGAGGCAAGGAGGGAAGATGGGGGCTGGAGACAGGAAAAGGCCATGAGCCAACTGTGCAGAGGGAGACACTGGCCCCAAGTGAGCAGAGCTCAGAGACTGAGGTCTGTGAAGAGGTCTGAATGGGTCACCAAGGTCCCCAGGGGGAGACAGGAAAGGCACAGAGCTGGAAGGGGCAGGGCAGTACACTCCTGCCCCCCATCAATAGGGGAGGTGCGAGCAGGAGGCCCCGCAAGCGTGCGAGGCCCCACTAGGAGCAACGGCTTGTTTTCGTGTCATCCCAGCACCCAGAGCAGCCAGTCGCAAGCCAACCCAGGCAAACACAAGAGAAACAACCAGAACATGGGCAATAGGATCAAGTGGTCAATTGCCTGCCTAGCAATCGAGGCCCCAAGTTTGGACTTACTAAGGCCCAGTACTACCAAAAAATGCAATGGCCAAAACCTTTCCAAAGTTAACAAAAGGCACATACCTATGGCCAATAAACTACGTAGACCCCAAAGAAATTTGAACCAAAATTCACTAAACTTTGCAAACCTCAGGCAGCAAAGGCTGTGCAATCAGCAGGGATTCACGACACTGCCAGGCGGGCAGCCAAGGTACAAGGCAGCATGGGGCCCAGCCCACGGCCAGCAGGCCGGCGCTGGATGAGGAGCTGTGGCGCCACCCCACCCCACATGAGGGCACCAGACCTGTCACCAGAAGTGTTGAGTTCTGTGTTGAGCACAGTGGACACCAGGAGGGAGGAGACCGAAGCGCAGACACTATGTTGCCTGCCCTGGAGTTGCCAGCTGCATCCCGTGGGAGGCGCCACTCTGCCAGTCTGGGGTGGTCAAGACAATGACAAGTGAGGGAGACAGATAAAGGAAGTGAGCTCCTGCAGTTTACTTGCATGGTCAGGGACACCAGTGGGAAGTGGACAGTGCACTGTGAGTAGCCACTTAAGCAGAATCACAGCTGGGCACTGGTGGCTCACACCTAGCTGAGATGTGAGGATCACAGTTCAAAGTCAGCCTGGGCAGGAAAGCTTGTGAGCTATCTCTAACTAATAAAGCCATTAGTGAGCTGTGACTAGTGGTAGAGTGCTAGCCTTGAGTGAGAAAGCTCAGGGACAGCGCCCGGAGTTCAAGCCCAGGACCAGCATACACACAGCAAAATTCCAAAGGGAGATACTTTACACTACTAACAAGTCAACAGAATTCTGAGAAACGTGTATATAATTCAGCTAGGCGAGGTAGCAGACATCTCCAGCCCTCACACACGGGAGGACCCAAGGCTCCTCTGGGAAGCCACAACATGAGAGGGGTGGGTGGCGACACTGGTGGCCAGGGCTCCAGGCTGTCCTCTGTCCTGCAGGTGGGTCCGAGGAGAGCACTACCGGTACCAGTTCAGCCGCCCGGGAGGCAGGCACGCCGCCCAGGGCAAGTGGTGGCTGCGCAGGCGCATTGGTCCCTACTTCCCTCCTCTCCGCCTTGAGGACCTGAGGGACTACTTTGAGGCACGGGAGTGGCCGCTGCCACAGCCCATCTAGGCACACCCTGGAATAAAGGCCAGAGACCACACCACATGGAGCCCCCGTGTCCCTCAGCCCACGCCTGGACACCCAGCCGGCAGCACAGCACAATGCATAGAGGATGACCCCAAGGCCACCGTCCCATCTCTGCAAAGGCCTGCAGCAGGGCTGTGGCCCCACAGGAGTGTGGGGACAGTGGCCTGGTCCCAGGGGAGCAGTGCCAGAGGCACCGTCTAGTCCTGACTCGGTGGCAGGGCCTGGGGAGCCCACACCCACTCCCTGCCCCCCCTCGCCCGGCTGACGGGGCGGCCAACAGCCAGCACCCTCCATCATGTGCCTAAGGCCAGGCCACACTGCGCAGGGGCTCAGCAGAGGCACAGTGCAGGTCTGTGTGGGCCCCGGGGCCCCTGGGAGCCAGCCCAGGTGCAGACAGAGAGCTGGTGTTCCGGCTGGGAACAGGGCGCCTGTGTCTGCAGAGCAGAGCTGGGCTCGGCAAGGGCACACAGTATGGGAGGCGCGGGCAGGCCTGGGCCCCCTTCCCGGGCCTGCCTGGCAGGCAGCAGGGGAGATGAGGAAGGGGGACTGGGCAGGGGTGGCAGCTGGTATAGCCCAGAAGAGGTGACAGACACCAAGTGGCCCCTGCAGGCCCTGTGCAGACATAAGAACCCGCGGGCCTGGCAGGCCAGAGGGTCTGGAGCAACGTGTCCTCTGGACAAGGCCACAGAAAGGCCCTGTCACCATTCAGACACCCTGTACCCTGCGTCCTATGGGCAGCTCACCCATACCCCACTTCGCATGTGTGTGCCAAAACCAGGTCTTGAACTTGGGAACTTGAGCACATCTGCAGACGTGCATCTGCTACTGGAGTCCCAGGGCCATTCTGCCAGCCTGTCTCAATTGCAGACCTTGGATCTATGATTACAGGCGTGGGCACTGGCACCAGGCGGGATGATGTTTCTGTGTCCTGTGATACTGTTGTGAGGGTGGGGACCTGCCACCCGGTGTCAAAGGCACCCAGTGAGGCCTCAGGTGGCCAGGACAGAACCACAGTGGCTGAGCAGGCCTGGCCCACATCATGCCCGTCCATCCCTAGCAAGGCAGGTCCCATGGTCCCCAAAAAGCAGAACTATCAGATACCTGATAAGTTCACTCGAGACGCCAAGGCTCTGAGGGGAGCCCCGCACCCTAGAGGGTGGACAGGGCCCAAGGTGGCAAGTGTGGCTGTCCCAGAAAGCCACTCAGGACATCCCGGCACCCCAGACCTCTCCTCTCTGACAAGCACAGCCCTATCACACCCATTCTCCCTTCTACACACACAGCCCTCTCTATTCTCTAGCCCTATCACCCCAGCCAGAGAGCCAGCATGTCCCCCCCACACACACACACCAGGGTCACAGGTCCTTTGCACACAGCCACCTGTGCCCAGGCCCGTGTAGACTTCCTGCTCCCCCTCGCTCCAGTGGCAAGGGCAGTACAGCCATGCGAGGCAAACTGGACCTGCTGAAGGACCACAGCATGTCCACTGCGTCCTTCCAACCCCAGGAACACTGAGTGGCACCTTCTTCCTCACTTCCCTACAGTGGCGCCACAGCAGGCGGGGGAGGGAGGGGTAAGATTCAGACACCAAGTCAGACACCCAGCAGCACAGTCACAGAACATGGCCCAGAGCACGGGGCCAGCAGGAGGTGGCCCAAGGACTCTGGAACAGCAAGGCGCATGGGTGGGCCTGACCGTGAAGGGGCTCCGCCTTCCGGGCCCTGGCCGTGTCCACCCCTGCGGAGCCTGTGAGGGCCATGCTGCAGGGGGCAGAGCTGCCACCTGTGGGGAGTGCTGTGTGGCTGCTGCTCACCCAAGTGCTTCTCCAGGCTCAGAATGGGGAAAATGAGGAAGCAGCTGTGCTATAGCAGAAGAGCTGGGGGAATATCAGAGAGGTTTTGAGAAAGCCACAAAATGCTACAGCAGCACATCACCGACAGCCAGAGTGAGTGTAGGAAGCCAGGAAGCGGGGCTGGGCTGCCCAGGAGCCAGCAGCCCAGGACCCTGTGAGTCTCAAGCTCGTGAGGGATTGCAATAGTAAGCCATCTTGAAAGAGGGTAAAACTGGAGGTCCCCTACTTGCTGGTTTCAAAGCTTTTTTCTCAGAAAGCCAGTGATTGCAACTCTGTGGTACTGGTAGACACACTAAGCCAGGCATGGTGGTACATGCCTGTAGTCCCAGCAGTCAAGAAGCTGAGGCAGGAGGGCCATGAGTTCAAGACCAGCCTAGGCTACACACTGAACCTTATCTTAAAAGGACAAAACAAAAAAACAGGCAGCTGCTGGACAGTGGAGTCAGCCCAGGGACCAGCCATCAGCTGGTCCAGCAAGGTGCGTTTTGAAAGGGCTCTGAGACCAGTGAATGTTGCTGGCAAACTAGCTCCACATACAAAGCATGAAGTGGGGCCTTCATACCATATCACAATCAGTTTAAGCATTGGGGGGTGGCTCAGTGGTAGAGGCTGCCTAGCATGTGGCAAGCCTTAGGATCCACCCCCAGCACCTGAAGAAGGAAGAAAACACGTGGCAGGCATGGTGGCACACACCTATAATCCTAACTACTTGAGAGGTTAGCCCCTGGAGGCAAGTGGTTCAAGACTAGCCTAGGGGCTGGGAATGTGGCTTAGTGCTTGCCTAGCAAGTCTGAAGCCCTGGGTTCCATTCCTTGGTATTACATACACAGAAAAAACTGGAAGTGGCGTTGTGTCAAGTGGTAGAGTGCTAACCTTGAGCTCAGGCCCTGAGTTCAAGCAGGACTAGCAAAAATAAAAATAAAGAAGACCAGCCCAGGCACAACACTCACAAGACACCCCATCTCAACCAAGGGCTGAGAGTCAACATACACCAATCATCCCAGCGACGCAAGCAGCAAAGGTGGAAGACCACAGTCCAGGCAGGCTGGGTGTAAAGTGCAACCCCCATCCTGAAATAACACTGCTCAGCAAGCCAAAGCCCTCCAAACTCCTGTTTGGTACTGGGCCATCTACCTGCCTGGGAAGCCACAGCCAGCCACCAGGCTGCGCCAGTGCCCTGTCCTCAGGGGGGGTCGCCAGTTCCTCCTGGCTCGGCTCAGCTGCACCTGGGCTGCCTGGGGCCCTGGTCCCAGCTATGCAGCTGGCTATTTGCATCTCAATGACCATGATTGATATTTAAGAAGCCAGCTGTCTGAGCCACAGGGAGCCAGGGAGGGAGAGGGGGAAAGATGCCTCTTTGGGCTGAGCCCCCCACCCCCGCATCCACTGGCTCCCTCCCTCCTCTCAGTGGATGGGCCACTAGCAGGGTCTAGGGCCCGCTGTATCCCCACCAATGTCCTGCCCAGCAGGGACACATGGGCCCACCAGCTCCTCCTCCCTGGGCTTGTCTGGTCGGCTCTGTTATGCCCCATCTTGGGAATGTGGGATCATCCAAGGGTCAAGCAAGTTGGACTGTGTCACCCAAGTCTGCCCAGAATCTTGAGGTGTGAGCCTAGAACAAGGGCCCAGGGTTAGGGCAAGTTCAGGCCCCTGCAGCGCACGCCCAGCTACCCAGGAGGCTGAGCAGGATTGAGTTCCACACAAGCCTGAAACAACTTAGACTTCTCAAAACAACTTAAGGAGGACAGCCCGAGGGCTGAATGCAGTGGCTCACTCCTGTCCTCTCAGGCCTCTGAGTCAGAGACTGGACGTTAGAGGCTAGCTCAGGCACAAAGTTGATAAGACCTCATCCGAGTGATGGTGACAGAAAAACCACCTGAAAAACAGCTAAGCAAGAAACGCTTAGAGCGCCCCGGGGTGGTGGAGTCTGACCCGAGCCTGGAGGCAGCTGCGGGCTGACACCTCCGCTTGACCCGCAGGCGGGTCAGACAGCCGGGCCAGGCTGGGGGGGGGA